AAAAAAAAAAAAAAAAAAAAAAGAAGAAAAGATTCAAGTATAATAATTATTGTTTATATCGTAGATGTAAAGATCACTTGCAGAATTAGACGATTGAAAATTATTTATATTAAAGATCAAAGATTACTTTAAACTGAAAGCTCGAAAGCTCGAGCGTGCGCTGAAAATTTGAAAAAGCCCGCCAAACTTATTAAAGCGCTTTATTTGTTATCGTAGTTGATGTTCAATCTACGCTCGGATTCCGAGTACACGGTCCCAGTGGCAGAGACAACTAAACACAGAGTCAGCTACGAAAGTTAAAGACGGCTTCACAGGATGCATCCTTCCTCCCGAGCGCACTCAAACAAGGGAGCATTGAAAGAAAATTGTAACTGTTTACCGGCCCGGTAAACCGCGGCTGCTCTCGTTTCCTTTCTTCCTTTCCGATCGACAAACCGTTGAATGATTCTTTAAACAATCCTTGAAGCTGCCACATAGAGACACACACACACGTGCATAGGTATGCGATCGAATTTTAATCGAGACAGCGATATCATCAGGTGCGCATGACTCTGAGTCTCTTCTGAAGAGTAATGTTCAAAAATACTGATCTCATGGCGCGAAGACTATTATTTGGAAAGTCATGTGCGTATATTGTATAGCTTGCTTGACGATCGATCGGTCAATTCGGTATCATGATGATATCGATCGCGTAACTCTGGGCGATGAATTCATTCGCGAGGTATTGAAAGAATTTTCAACGTGAAAGAAGAGTGGATAGAAGACTATGATTAGGATGTGGGTTTCCATAAGCAGCAACCTCCACGGGGTGAGACCTGGTAATCATTCTTATTTGGCATACAATTGCTAATTGAATCACTATTGATTTGAATCTTTGATCGTTTGATTAAAAATTGTTTGTCAGAGATTGTAATTAATAGCTATGATGCAGTTATGAATTGTATAGAAAGTAGCATGAACTGATTGGCTGCGATCGCGATCGCGTCTCTGTGTAATTAAAGGATTTATTAATTTTTTCTCGCAGTAAAACGTAATAAAACGACGTTTCTCTTTGAATTAAATAATTTTATTCCTCGAAACTTCATGTTCAACGATAAATTCTATTCTAATTAATTGTTTTAAGAACGAGTGATTGTTGTAGTTGTAGAATTCTATATTTTAAAGTATCATCGCATGGTAACGTGAACTACATTACGAAAGTCGATATCATGGCGCCATCTGTAAACTTCGATCTTAAACTAGAAGTATAATCTTGTTACAGAAAGATAAGTAAAATTTTCGCGTTTATTAATAAATAGAGCTTATCTGTACGAGTAAATGCGTATGAATTTTGTGCAGAAGAAATAAAATGAAACGATTAACGTGATGCCAAGTGAAAATACAGTTGTAGATAGTGTATGTTTTACGGATAAAACCATATACTTTCCTATTTTTGTTTATCAATAATTAAACGAAACTAACATATTTAGAAGAGAAAACGATTGTTTCTTTGCAGAAACGGCGCAATAATTAGAAAAATATGCGAATGCACGAGCCTCCTTTAAATATGCCGCGCTTCAAGATGGCGCCAGGACACTAGTAAACGGCGCGCGAAAAGTTCTACTTTTGAATTTTGTGCGCGTTTCAATCTCCCGTTTGCAATTTTCACTTTTAGTTTCAATAAATTACTTTCCACGCATCGTACCATTTAATGACGAAATTATTGCTAAAAGAGTGGAAGTACTCGAATTTTTAAAGTTTAATAATTCTATACATCGAATATTTAAAAAAATTTAAGTTATTCTTTTTTGTGTTTTTCTATTCCTTTTTTTTTTTACAAATAACAAGGAGGCAAAAAATAGACGTTTTTTGTGTAGAAAAATTATTACATCGTTTTTAATTCATAAATAAAACCAACGTCGTAGTTCCTTAACATAAATATCGTTCCACGGGTTATATGTCAGTTCTGTTTCCATTAGTACAGTTTTATACATGTTATCAATTGGTACAGTATAATAATCGTAACATGTTAGTCTGAGAGTTACAATTCATTTGTTTTCTGTTTTTTTTTCTTTTTTTTTTACAATCGCGGCGAGTGACAGAAAAAAAAGCACTTTGTTCAACAAAGCGATAATAACCGATTCGAACGAAACTTCGGAGCAAGCTGAGAACACGCAACATGCACATACTGTTGAGAACTGAAAAGAAGGCAAAAAGACAAGGCGATATCATTCTCTCCTATCATTCATCGACACATTGTGCTAGACGAACTTGTTTGTAACTTGTTTTCAGCAAAAGTATATTTAAGATTTTATTGAAACAATCAATCAGATTCGCATTCCTTTTGCGAAACCTCTTTCCAGTTCCCAGCAATCTCTCGAACCAGTTAAGCAAGGACTGACACTGATTTGTTAAATTTCCTTGCTTTTTTCTTCAAAGTTTGTTATTCTCTGATACTTACTAGACTACTTACTACACATATTTACAAGACACGTTTTGTCAACACAAACTATTCTCTACTAAGCTTAGTTCGATTCAGTTAGAAATTTTGACTTAGTTTCTCATTGGCACATCGCAGAGGCCATCTTCTATTTTTTATCTCTTTTCTTTTCTTCACACATTCGGGAAGTTCTTTTCTTTTTATCGTGTGATGAATTGTAGATATAAGAAATCAAGAATAGAAAGTTGTAGCAAGATTTAAATCTTCACCGATTTGTTGATAGCATTGGGAAGCCCCCACGATTTTGTTTGGTTACTTTATCTCTCGCATTCTCTTGTTCTCTCTTGTTCTCTCTCTCTCTTTTCATCTCCTTCTCCGTGTACATAATTCTTCAAATATTTATAGTAGTTCAAGTAGTTGAACTAAGCTTTCGAAATTTGCATAACAAAACTTGACCGAAAGCTGATGGTGTTAATCTGAAATTTGAGCCAATTCGAGTCAA